GCTCCTTGTCCCCCTGACCTGCCCTCCCGACCCCCTATCCACATCCCCACCCCCTGACCAGGCCCCCCCGGGACTCCCACTCCCAACCCTTCCTGTTCCCCATCCACTGACCGCCCACCCAGAACCTTCGCCCCATCCAACCACCCCCTCCTCACTGAGTGCCCCCCAGCACCCCCTGCTCCTTTATCCAACCCACCCGCTCCCCGCCCCCTTACCAGCAGCAGGAGCTCGCAGCCGCGACACCCGGCCAGAGCCACTTGCGCTCCCTACGCTGCCCAGCAGGAGCGGTGGGCCGGAGCAGGGCCTGCGTGGTGGCGTGGCTGTGGCGGAGGTGGGACAGCAGAGGAGGGGCCGGGGACTAGGCTCCCCAGCTGGGAGCTCAGGGGCCAGGCGGGATGGTCCCGCGGCCTGGATGTGGCCTACGTGCCGTAGTTTGCCTACATCTGATCTAGAAGGTGGTCGTAGGTTTAGGAAGTATGTGTACTGAGCAGGGGCGGCTCTAGCTGTTTTGCCACCCCAAGCACGGCAGGCAGGCAGCCTTTGGTGGCATGCCTGTGGGCAGTCCCGCGGATTCGGCGGCATGCCTGCAGGAGGTCCGCTGGTCTTGCAGATTCGGCGTACCCACCACTGAATTGCCGCCGAATCCCCGGGACCGGTGGACCTCCCGGAGGCATGCCGCCAAAGGCTGCCTGACTGCTGTCCTCACAGGGACTGGCAGGGCGCCCCCTGCGGCTTGCTGCCCCAGGCACGTGCTTGGAGCGTTGGTGCCTGGAGCCGCCGCTGGTACTGAGAAGCCTGTTGATATTCCTCATTGTCTCTGCTGTAAACAAAAAAACACAACACCCACCATAGTCATCAAAAATATTGCTATATTTTATTGTTAATTATACTCAAAATTCCCTATTTACATTTATTTTGTGAACTAAAGGTGAACCATTTTATGTATTATAGTACCTTTATTGTAACTTCTTTTTAATCGTGACAGCTGTTTAAAAGTTAAAAAAGAAAACAAGATTTTGGAAAGAAAACTGTCCTAGAATAAGAATAAAAGGTTACAAGTAGGCACTGTTTTCAGAGAAAATAATTTGTGTATGAAGCCTTATCTTAAACCAAAACTGTTAATTTTATAATAGTTTTCCTGTATTTTTTTCTTTTAAGTTGTTTTTATGATTTGAAACTGATTGTTATTCCTGCATCTTTATTTGGGATGAGTTTTAATACAATTCCATTTAACTCTTTATTTTGCCTGTGTGTGACAGTAACTTATTAAACTTAAACAAAAAAGTGGTATGTTGATAATTTACCTACTCACTGTCTGATGCTTTTTTGTCTTTCCTAACCTATCATTGATAATCAGTCTGAATTTTAATTGTCGTTAGATAATGACTGATAGTGGCTTTGGAAACAGGAGACTCTGTGTTCGGGCCTTATCCACTTCCAGCGAGTGCCTTTGTCCTTCTGAGGGGCAATATGTCAGGCAAGAAAAATATAATGGTACTTTTACAAACATATTTTGAGGAAAGAGGAGGTATTTGGGTAGAAGGTCATCAGCCTCACAATTCATTCATAGAGTGATCTGAAACTACTTTAGGGAGAAATTCATGCTACAACTGAAACACCAGTTTATCAAGGAAGAATTGCAAGAATGGGGAGACTGATAACTAAAGATTTTAATTCTTCAATACAATGTTTCAGGATTATAGTTACTAAAAGGGTTACTTTCTCAGTCAACAGCTGCAGTGATACTTTAAATAATATTCATGTATTGCCATATGGACATATTAATTTCAGTATACTCTTCTGCACTTTGATTAGGAATATGAAATGTTTGGAACGTGGAATATAATTAACGCATTTTCAGTTTTGTTAATAGATGCAGTGATATAATATTTTTTTTTAAATCAGCATGGGATTCTAATGTGAGAAAACTCTGAAACTCCACTCCCTCGAGTTACATCACCAAAACCAGCTAATGAGATTCTTTCCTTGAATTAACTTGTATTGTCATTGTCATCATTATGGGTGGTGTTATTTATTCAAATGTAAAAAATATGCTAAAGTGGAGCTAAGCAGGAGAGTATATATCTGTAACTTCAGGGTAAAAAACATTACAGGGATGTTGTAACTATCTCAAACATTACAAACCCAGGAATTTCATAGTTAAAGTGTAGTGCGGTCTCTCTGAACCTGGCATGAGACCATGCATCTTCCTCTGCGTCTTCCTAAATTTCACTTCTGTTTCAGTCATTCGCTGATTACCAGCACTCCTGGTTCCAAGCACTGTCAGTTCACTGCAGTTGACCTAACCCACTGGTTAAGCTCCCAAAGTCCACCCCTTTCACGGAATAAATCAAATGAAAGTCTCTAGTTCAAAAGGAATAATTTTGGGGAAATTCTATAGTCTGTGTTATACTGGAGGTCAGACTGGATAATCACAATGATTCTTTCTGGCCTTGGAATCTTTGAATTCTGGGCTGTACTCTTCATTTGTCCTCCCTTTGCAGGAATAACTGCACACTCTTAAATGGCCAGCTTACTGTGTGATATAAGTGTACACTTAAGAAATGCAAACATGTTGCGGTATAGAAATGCACAGTTAAGGTACTCAAACAACCTTAATTCTGCTCTCTATTGATGCCATGATATAATGGTATAATTAAGACATTTTAGTGTTTGCCCTAGACTAGATGAGTGGCCCTCCACGTGGACAGTCACTAATCATCACTCTGCCAAAGAAAGGCAATCTGAAATTGTGTCAAAATTACCGGACCATAAGTTTATTTAGTCATACCAGCAAAGTGATGTTGAAAGTCATATTGAAAAGATCGAAGCTACAAGTGGAGACTATCATCGCTGAAGAACAGGCTGGCTTTCGTGCTGGAAGAAGTATCACAGAACAGATTTTCAATCTTCATGTTCTATGTGAGAAGTACTTACAACACCAGCAGGACATCTACCATGTCTTTATTGACTTCAAGAAGGCGTTTGACAGAGCATGGCATGAAGCTCTCTGGGCAACCACGAAGAAGTGCAGTGTTGGTCGTAAGCTTATTCTTACCATTAAACAACTGTAAGCCAAGGCCAGCAGTGCAGTTCTCGTTAATGGCACAATAAGAGAGTAGTTTTGCATCACTGTTGGAGTCCAGCAAGGCTGCCTTCTTTCGCCTACACTGTTCAACATCTACTTGGAGTGCATAATGACTGATGCCTTAGAAGATCACATATACACAGTCAGCACTGGGGGGCGAACAATCTCAAATCTTTGGTTCGCTGATGATATTGACGGCTTGGCAGGCAGTGAAGATGAACTTGCCAACCTTGTGAAATGATTGGATGAAACCTCTGCAAAATACGGTATGGAAATCACTACAGAGAAAACCAAGCTGATGACAAACAAATGTGACAGGATCAGCTCACATATCACTGTCAGTGGACAAGAGCTGGAGACAGTGAAACAGTTCAAGTATTTGGGGGCAATCATCACTGATGAAAGATCCAAGAAAGAAATTCTGGCAAGAACTGCGCAAACAGCAGCAGCAGTGGCAAAGCTAAAGCCAATTTGGAGGCATAAGAACATCTCCCTGGAATCAAAACTGAAACTGCTACTGAATTGGTCATCTCCATTTTTCAGTGTGCCTGTGAGACATGGACCCTTATGGCAGAACTTGAACGGAAAATACAGGTAGTAGAGTTGAGATACTTCTGTAAAATCTTGGGCATCTCCTACTTCAACCATGTCACTAATGAACAGGTCTGCAACATCATCACCCAATGCGCTGGGTCATATAAAGACCTCCTGACGACTATGAAGAAGTGCAAGCTGAAGTGGTACGGCCATGTAACAAGATCATCTGGCTTATCCAAGATCATTCTCAAAGGGACGGTACAGGGGACGAGGAGAAGAGGTAGACAGAAGAAGAGATGGATTGACAACATAAAAGAGTGGACAGGAATGGACTTCATGGAGACTCAAGCACTGACACACAATCATTAGGGGTGGAGACAATTGGTTGATTGCTCATCAATGATGGTGCCCCAGCGACCAATGCGGTTATGGGAATGATGATGATGATGAGATAAAATTGTTTTTTTTAAAAGACACATTAGGTTTTTTCCATATGTTTTTCCCTCACGGTATCTCACAGAGCAGAGTTAACTCTTTCAGTTGACTTCACTGATCACGCCAGTATTTCTTACAGGAATCCTGCTCAGTAGAATCCAAATGTTGTTTGACTCTTCCACAGCTTTCTATGAGGTCTGTTACAGTAGCGACATTTTCCAAGCTTTTTCCCCAGTTGATAAAACGTGTTTACTTCCATCAGTTTGGTACCACTGGGTATTCTGTTCTAGTCAGGGCACCAGCTACTACCAACATTTTTGTAATAACATATTGAGAAGGCTTTTTCTGAGCAGGGTTAAATGATATAGTGTTAATAACACCTGCAGCAGCCAGTGACCACACCAAGAGCTTTTCCACTTGGGGATACTCAAGAAAGTGATGCTAAATTAACTAAAGATGTGAATTTAACGTAAGTGAATTAAGCTAAACCGAATGAATGCCACTTTATTTCTGAAATGAGAGCATCCACATGGGTTTAATGCACTTCACTTTAATTTATTTGACTTAACTTACCTGGGTATGCCCAGGTGTCCTAACGCTAAAACTGTTTCCAATATGTTGCAGCTGAACTGGCATTAGCATTGCTGGGAAATGTTTACAACATATTTTAACTGTAGACAAAGTCCTCATGGTGACTACATTTTATCAGGTATTTTAATTCTGTGAATTAGGGAGATCTGTATCACTTGCTTTTGGCTACTTCTCTTTTTTATGCACTTATTTATTTGTATTTGTATTTGTATTATTGTCCTGTGGCCCCATGGCCACAGTATGTGAGTAGCTCATAATTTTTAATGTATTTATCTTCTGAATATTTTTGTGAGATAGGGACCTATTTTAATTTTACAAATGGGGCTCTGAGGCTCAGAGAGACAAGTGACTTGCTCAAGGTAACACAGGAAGTTTGTGGCAAAACAGGAAATTGAACCTTGGTCTCCCAAATCCCAGCCTGACACCTAACCAGTGAACCATCCTTCCTCTTCTTTGGCTGATTCTAATGGTAAAAGTATCCAACAGATTGAGTTGATCAATTTTATCACAGAGTCTTAGAAGACAGAGAAGAAGAACAGGAGAATGGCCATACTAGGTCAGACCAATGGTCCATCTAGCCAAGTATCCTGTCTTCCAACAGCGTCCAGTGCCAGATGCTTCAGAGGGAATGAACAGAATAGGGCATTTATTGAATGATCCATCCCGTTGCACAATCCCAGCTTCTGCCAAATGTAATTTTATTCTTGTCATGTGGGCTTGATTGCATGCTGCATAAAAGAATTGCTCTTTGTACTATAAGCATGTAGCAGTTCTCCAAAAAGGGCAATATTTTTGGAGTTTAATGTAAACACCCTACACACACCCACATCTTATATAATTTGAAAACTTATTTTGTGTATGTTTAGATGAGGTATGATGTGGAGCTGTCAAGTGGTTTCATAAGTCTGTAGGTGAGGTGAAACAATGGTGCCCAAAATAAGAAAGTATCATTTTTTTTGCACAGTTTCAGAAACGATGCAACATGACTATGACTTCATTTTTTACTGATAAGTTAATTTCAGCTCTTTAATATGGTGCTTATTGGTCAAAGCTACCAAATGACAATGTAGTAAAAGATTTTTATTTGTTTTGCATGGGCAAGTATTTTTTCTCCAGAAATGATAAGGCTATTTAGCATGTGGGAAAAATGACAGATATTAACGTTTTGCAATATACGATCATGAAATGTCTTAACATTGCATATTCTTAATTGTGAAAGTATCTCACAAGTGATTATAATAGTTTTCTATATTTTCAACTGAAATTTGCTGACCAAATCAGTCATACTGAAGATTGTGCACCAGTAGCAGTAGGTTGTGTGCCCATGGTTTGTATGGCATAGTGGCTAGATGTAGATACATGTGAATTCCTAATGCAATGCTTCTCCATTTGCAAGCTTTTTGTACATACAATGTAGCATCTAGTCTGCCTACGAGAAAGTTTTAATTTGTAATTGCCTATGTCATTAAAGAGTGTGAGTATGCTATAACTCAGCATATGCTACCACTATTGGTGGAATTTCGGACATGGGAGTATGGCTAGTCTCCTACTTTCAAGTTCTGAGATCATTTCCTCTCCTTTATGTAGGTATTTAAATGTCCATGCAGAGCAAGAGGGTGATTGGAAACTTCACCTAACACACAGCATGCCATGCTTGCATACTTCTTTACTGCAAATTGGCCCAGCTATGCCAGGTGAATACCAAGCTACAATCTTAATTTGTAAAATGTCCCTGAAGAAGTACATAGTGCCTTTGAATCTGGGAAATTTGCTGTGCATCAGACTCCTTGTTCTTTCACTGGAATTTGGGGTGCTGTAGGAACAGAGAAAATGATCATCAAAGATTCAAAGGGCAGCAGTGGGATTGTAGGACTGACAAGAAAGATGCCAGCATCTGTCAGATGGGCCCTCACAAGACATGTCCTGAGTGAATATGCAAAAGCTATGAGAGAAAGAAGTGACCTAACAAGGAGTGGGGACAGTTTTTAAGAGTATGTCAAAAGAGAATGTTGGCAAACAAAGATGTGGATGTCTCTGCACATAGTAAGCCAATATCTAGTTTACCCATTGCAACTTGGATGGGAAAATGTGGATGATGAACTACTTCTGTATTCTTCAATGGCCCAGTGGCATCTGAGCTTCTACAAGACCTTATTTCTGCCCATATAAGTAAGGGTCGCTCCCCAGTCAGCTGTGTCTGTAGTCAGAATGATCTTTTCTGCACACTGTGTATGTGCCAAGGCAATGGAGACTGTGGTAACCCATATATTCTTAACAGAGATGATAATGATGGAAAAAATGATGATGATGTTGACTGGAAATGTCACCAGTGCTGTTATGTTTCAATGATACCTTTACAAATTTATTATTAGATTTTGTTTTACCCTTTAGATTGTTGTTGTGATGTTTTGAAGTCACAAATAAATCCAAGTCTCTTGAAACAGACATTAACCAAAATGAATGCAAATATTTCAAAGTGGTCATTACATTTTTAACTTGTTGATGATGATATTGCTTATCCCTGTTTCTATGATATTGAGATCACTTGACAGCTCTACATCATACTTTATCTAAAAGTAGACATAATAAGCTTTCAAGTGACATATGAGTTGCATATGTGTAGGATGTTAACTAAACCAAATCAGTGGTGTCTCCTACTTGCCTGCTACAGGTAGATACGTTGAAAACCAGTCACATAGCTTTCCCCAATATATCTAATGTTGGATTTAAGGACATATGTAACTAACGTTTAGCCAAAGTGTACAATAAGAAAGACTCTCAAAGCTGTCAGAAATTCTTAGAATAGGCAATGAGCTCCAGGCAACCAGGACCTGCCCTCTCATTCACCTTTCCTTCCTTGTAAACTGGATTGCTAGTGTAATGTACTGGGTATTATTAAGCACAATTTTTGAACAGCTCTTCATTTAATAAAACTTTAATAAAACTTTTAGTGATGTGTTTTGTAATGCATGTTCTCTTATTGACCCTTAAAAAATTGGGTTTACAGCAAACTGTTTATAAAATGTTTGCAATTATTTTAGCAACATATTTTATAAGCTCATTAAATATGTGTAATGTTACTCAAATGTTCATATTTTTATACTACTTGTCTTACTTTTTTTTTTTAACAGAACATGAGATTTGTACTCAAGATATCTCAGAACTACAGTGGCATTTTGACACTGCAAATCGTCAGCTCCAACAGGTAAAAGCCCAAGTACTTAAGATAGAGACAGTTAATGGAAGGATTCAAGAGGATATAGACTTCATGAAGAAATACAGCCCTCTGCTGGAAGAAAAGCTGAATCTTGAGGGTGACGCTATGAAGGATGTATTACTGGCACATGGAAAGGTAAATAGAAATGATGCAAGGATGTTTTAACTAAAATCTTTCTGCTAATTAGGGACATGCACGTTTAGAATTGCCATTTGTTGCCAACGCCAAAGTGCTGTTCCATATACTGCATGCAAAGGATGCACTGAATACAGGAGTTTTCTGCTTACATTAGTTCTAATGTGCCTTAGTGTTCCTTATCAATAATTTTTGTAAGATGCAGGTATTACTAATAGTGTTTATTCTTCACATTTTGTAACCCAAAAAGAAAAGTTTATAAAAAATGTGTATTTTTAGCATTACAATATTTTGGAGTATACCTTTGTAATTACTTCTTTTAAATGTGATACAGAGGAATTCAGGCTACTGATTTTACATCTAAAGACATTGTTGATCTCTTTCTCAGATGTTTAATGGTACTTGCAGTATTAATATGATTAAAAACAAATCTATGAAGTTCCAGAAAAAGTGGAAACACATTTTCCTGGAAAATTCAACAAAACATCTTATACTATCATTCTGCTTTAGTCTTCAGTCAGTGTTTCAGTAATTTTCTCTTTTTTCATTAAGCTTATCCAGTTAATTATCTTCCAATGTTTTCCAGTTTCCAAATTTTAGTTATTGTTGCACTGCTGGATGTGTGAATAGTATTGATATTTTTTCTCCATAAAGATCCATGTGGAAAAGTTTAGCCCTTTTCTATTTCCATAGCTGCCATAAGTGCCTGTGCATTAGAATTCCAAGAAGACTTCATGTTAGTGAGCTTCTGCAGAGAATTTTACAATTTATTTTGTGCTGCTTGCAGATAGCTGATGATACATGAAGCCCAACTCCTGAATTACTAGTGTCACTGGACTTGCAAGAGAAAATTTTACCTTTTAATGTCAATGAAGAGCTTTACAAATAACATGATGATCTTAAACAAATTTGCTATTGATCCATTTTTCTTTCTTTAAAATAAAAATCAACATTAACAAGTATATCATCACAGTACAATATACCTGAATACTTACTGGTACTCCTGCAAATGCCTCACTTCTAAATTATTTTATAAAGCCTGGGTGATATTTATTGATACATACATAGGTTGTATGTGACTGTGAGTTGAGTAGATGTTCTATTCTTATGACTAACATTTTGTTATATCAGCAGATAGGGTAGTTTCAAAATAATGCTAATTAAAGGTCAGGCTGTTAACTTTTTCTTCTACTTATTTTTTTATTTCCATTCTTCTTGTTGTTGCCTTGGGATATATTTGATGCAGTGAAAATTTCAAAATGATCTGAAATACAATTCACGAAATAGACTTTTCCCAAAGCAATTTTAAATTAGTACCTTTTCCAGTACTGATTTTTTTCTTTCTATTACTAAATGAAATAATGCAAAATCTCATCATAGAAGTGGTAACACTACATGGCATAATAAGAATATAGATAATTTCTTGTGGTAACTCATTCACATATTTCCTCTTTAAAAAGTTATTAGATATTAAAAAATATATATTCAAGGTTTAAATTGTGCTCTAATTCATATGCTTGGATTAACTGGTTCCACCAGTTGTATTGGTTTTATCCTCCTCATTGCCTATGATCTTGCAGCAGGCACTTGATTTTCTCTTTAATTAAAAATAATTAGATAATATTGAGTATATATGTTTTTTTCTTTGGGAAATTAAAAAAAAGACTGAGCAGTTAATAAGGGCTTTAGATTATAATATACTCCTATTTTTGTTCTATTATGTGAATCACTGATTTCTTTAACTGTTAGAGGAGATTTTGGAAGGCAGAGAGGGCAGCTATGTACCAAATTCCCATTGAAAGTCAATGGGAATGTGGTGCCTAACTCTCATTTGTGCCTTTTGAAAATCTCCGTCATTGTCTCAGGCCCCTCTGTTTCTTGAGTGAATGTCAGGCTTGTACAGCCCCTCAGAAGCCTTTAAGTAATGATTCTGTAAGGTTGCTGAGTACAGACTCAGTGGCTTCTTCCAAGTTTTGTGTTCTGTTCCATTGGTCTCTGCCTTCCCATGCAAGTGGCCATCTTTTCATAATAACTTCCAAATGTTAGCAAGAGAACTTTCATTTTGTTATAACATTGGCTTTTTGATTTCATCAGGTTCTACATGTGCTTTGACATTGTCTTCTACTCTGACTGCTTTTTTGGTATTCCATGCTTTACTACACTCAAACTTTCAAATAGTAATAAGTGAGTCAGAAGATTACTGAATGAGAACAGTTGTGTTTAGAATATTATATACATTTCATAATGAAAACAGTTTATAGAAGATTTATTTTCCTTTTTCAGGCATCAAAATTATATTATGATGTTTATCGGGAACTTCTGAGAATCCAGCAGATTTTAAAACAAGTCACAGAAGAAGCTGAAAAGGAGAGAGAATCTATGTCTGAGAAAATTAAACACGCTGAGATAGTGTTGAAGCAGTACCAGTAAGAGCCCTTTAAAACATTATTAAAATATTCTGATGATCTTTAATATTTTGACAGTTTAGAAGTATAATGACAATAGAAGCACAGTATATTTGCATTCAGAAAATGTCTGTTTTAAATTCTGTTCTTGTTTGAGTGTCCTCTGCATATTATCAAACTGGGAATGTGCTGACCAGTGCAGTTTGGATGGTGGAACCTTTTGATAGTACCCAGGGCCGGCTTCAGGCACCAGCTTGGCAAGCAAGTGCTTGGGGCAGCCACTCCGGAGAGGGCGGCAGGTCCAGCTATTCGGTGGCAATTTGGCGGACGGTCCCTCACTCCCGCTCAGAGCGAAGGACCTTCTGCCGAATTGCCGCCGCAGATTGCAATCGCGGCTTTTTTTTTTTGGCTGCTTGGGGCGGCCAAAACCCTGGAGCCGGCCCTGATAGTACCACCTGTTAAAGTGCTCATCCACCCCTCCTACTGCTCCCCTCAGCATTCGAGCATATTCTGAGGGCATGACTATAAATAGGGCTGCCACCTTAGTTACTTTCTTCCACAGAACTCAGATGGATGTGGACCTTTCTAGATCTCTTGGATCCACAGCTTTGAATGACTACTAACTCTACTGTGACATACCCAGACCTGTGGGGTACAGGAGTCTGGTAGAGGGCAAATATACTGGTCACTGGATGAGTAGTTTTCTGTTCCCTGAGTGACCAGAGCAGGGGCTGCACTAGAGTAATCAGGAACCTGCTAGAACCAGTTAAGGCAGGCAGGCAAATTAGGACACCTGGAGCCAATTAAGAAGAAGCTGCTAGAAACAATTAAGACAGGCTAATCAGGGCACCTGGGTTTTAAAAAGGAGCTCACTTCAGTTTGTGGTGGGAGTGTGAGGAGCTGGGAGCAAGAGGCGCAAGGAGCTGAGAGTGAGAGGGTGTGCTGCTGGAGGACTGAGCACGAGTGTTACACTGCTCTACAGCCAAAATGCTTCTGAAATAAATGTAGTCAGACTTTACTAATTCTGGGTCACTGAGAACGAAAATGATGCTTAAAATTGTTGATTGGCTCTAGTTTTCAAGATATGCTATTGGGTTAGTATATATGACCCTTGACTTGGGAATGGTGGAGGATAAGTGAGTTATAAAGGGAAGGGATCTCAATTTAAACCAGAAATGACTCAAATACATCTTTGACTGGATCTATGAATAAATCTATGACTGGGTTTGGACAGTACTTGCTTTTTAGGCAAAACAATGAATGATGCAATCTGAAGCTGGTATTGCGTCATACATGATATGAATTGCATCATGCTATTCCTAGAAGTCATGGATGATGCAATCATAACGAAGCGTACATCACTCTGCTGAACAAATTGCCCTATATCAGCTCTAGAAATCATACAGTGTCGTGCTCTCTTATTTGTCAGTGTTTGATTTTGCAAAGGGACACATTTCTGTTTAGCCAAAGTGAGCAGAGATGCCTCGTACTTGTGTGAACAGTGTAGATAACTTCTGCTATGTTTGTGGTGAAGTGACTTTTGCATCACAAAAGTGCAGTATAACCACTATGGTTAAGAAAGCCTATCACCTTTATTTTGGCTGCAAAATTGGAGATCAGGACAAGTGGCGATTTGAAGGTTGGTGCTCTCTTGCTTGGTCTGCAGACTGGATACACAAAGTACTGCTGTTTTG